GTAGTACAGAGTACTGCAAGGTACTACAGAGTACTGCAGGGTACTACTGTTTACTGCAAGGTACTGCAGGGTACTACAGAGTACTGCAAGGTAATACAGAGTACTGCAGGTACAACAGAGTACTGCAGCATGCAACAGAGTACTGCATCATGCAACAGAGTACTGCAGGGTACTACAGAGTACTGCAGGTAAAACAGAGTACTGCAGCGTGCAACAGAGTACTGCAGGTACTACAGAGTACTTCAGGGAACTACAGAGTACTGCAGGGAACTCCAGAGTACTGCAGGGAACTACAGAGTACTGCAGGGTACAACAGAGTACTGCAGCATGCAACAGAGTACTGCAGGGTACTACAGAGTTCTGCAAGGTAATACAGAGTACTGCAGGGAACTACAGAATACTGCAGGGTACTACAGAGTACTGCAGGGAACTACAGTGTACTGCAGGGAACTACAGTGTACTGCAGGGAACTACAGAGTACTGCAGGGTACTACAGAGTACTGCAGCAATCTATTTCTCAAGTGTCTGTGTGTTCTTGGGTTTTTCAGAACCTACTTTGCGGGCCAGGAGCAGCAGGTCCGGCTCATCTATCAGGGTCAGCTGCTGCAGGACGACGCCCGGACCCTGGCCTCCCTGAACCTAGTCCATAACTGTGTCCTGCACTGCCACATCTCTCAGCACACCTCTAGGGGAGCAGCGGCCGGTGTGCGGCCCGCCGACCAGGTCCAGGTGGCGCTCAATGTGGGTAGCTTAATGGTGCCGCTGTTGGTTCTGATGCTGTCCGTGCTGTGGTACTGTCAGATCCAGTACCGGCAGTTCTTCACAGCCCCCGCCACTGCCTCGCTAGTTGGCATCACCATCTTCTTCAGCCTGGTGGCCTTTGGAGTCTACCGCCGCTAACTGCTCTCTGATTGGACAGGGAGCATTGTTTATTTCTGTTGCCATGGAGATCCTGATGTAAACAAGAACTATTTTTTTAGTTTCTCATCAACGTGCCTCTCGGACTGTGAGGATCTGTGTGGACGCAGCACACCTGTCTGTCTGATTTACACCTGTCTGTCTGCCTAAGGGGGGAAAGTTTTGTTTGAATTTCAACTTTGGAAAAATGAATAAAAGATTAATTTATTATGTCTAGTGCTTAATTTGAGCCGGATCCTGCCGGAACAAGATCCGGGAACCAGGGCGGCTGTGGCTGAGTTGCTAGAGCAGTCGTTCTCTGATGCAAGAGTTGGGGGTTCGATTCCACCAGCAGTCACATGCTGAAGTGTCCCTGGGCAAGACACTGAACCCCTCATTGCCTCCTATGTGTGTCCAATTAGTGCATGAATGTGATAAAACTCTGATTATTTTTTGTACAGATCTAGTATAGAGCTGTATGAATGAATAACTGAGGCACAAATTGTAGTCAAGAGCTTTGAGTGTCTTGATAAGATAAGAGTTGTAAAAGATTCAGATTATCGTTACTGCCATTCAACATAACATCAGAGATTCAAGGATTTTTATTGTCAAACCAGCTCACATTTGCATGTTAACGGTACGAAATTTGGACTCGGGTCCCAGATCAAGAAGCCTAATAATTAAATAAATAAATAAATACTAGAGTATAAATATAGTAGTGTCCCCTACAATCACACAAGCGGGGTGCCCCACCTCGTCAACAGAACTGAGCACCCCGCCTACCAAACCAAACCCCCACTCAGCACTGACATAGCACTAAGCTAGCAGTGCGCAATACAGCTGCTCTAGCTAAAAAGTTAAAGGCGCCTCTTCCCTCATGCTGAACGCCCACCCCCTCGCTCAAAAACTGTTGGTACAAGCTGCACTCAGACATGTCCCTGCAGGTCAGGTCTATACAAATGGAATCAAATCATCAACATGAAACAGATCAGCAGCAACGTGAAATGGATCAGCAGCAACGTGAAACGGATCAGCAGCAACATGAAACAGATCAGCAGCAACGTGAAACGGATCAGCAGCAACATGAAACAGATCAGCAGCAACATTGAAACAGATCAGCAGCAACGTGAAATGGATCAGCAGCAACATGAAACAGATCAGCAGCAACATGAAACAGATCAGCAGCAACATGATATGGTTTTTCACAGTGATTATTCTAGTTAGAGATTCATGAGTCTAACAGCCTCAGGGTAGAAGCTGTTCCTCAGCCTAGTGGTTCTACACTTAATGCTCCTCAACCTCCTTCCTGAGGGGAATATAATAGAATAAAATAGAATAAGAACCAGATCAAAAGGGGGAGGCTGTATACATATAAGTGCAAACTTTTGCAATTTGTGCAAGAAATGTATCAGGAATAATATGTGCAAACAATCAAATAACAGGTGGATAAAATAATATTATAGTCTTGGATTATTTTGAGTGATTCAAAAGTGTAATGGTGGTTGGGTAGAAGCTGTCATGGAACCTTACGGTTCTGCATGACAGGCTGCGGTATCTTCTGCCGAGGGTAGGAGCGAGAACAATCCGTGATGGGTGAGAGGGGTCCCTGGCGATTCTTGTTGCCCTCGACAGGTAGCGTTGTTTTGCCAGGTCCCCAATGGGTGGCAGTGTGACCCCAATAATCTTTTCAGCTGACCTCACCACTCTCCCCAGTGCCTTTCTATCTGAGGCTGTGCTGCTCTCACACCAGAGAGATGCTGCTGGTAAGCACACTCTCAGAGTAGTAAGGATTGATGGGCTGAGGGCTGCTCTCTTTAGCCTGTGCAGAAAGTACAGGTGCTGGTGTGCAGCGACCAGGTGAGAGTATCATCTACATGGACCCCCAGGAATTTGATGTGGGGGACGATCTCCACAGCAGTGTTCTGGATGTAGAGCGGGGTGTGCACATGCCGTTTCCTCCTGAAGTCGATCACCAGTGCTTTGGTTTTTCCCACATTCAGAAGCCGGTTGTTGTTGCTGCACCATTCTATAAAAAGTTTCACCTCCTCTCTGTAGTACGTTTCTTCATCATCCTGGATGAGACCCACCACTGTTGTGTCATCTGCATACTTAATTATGTGATTTGTGTTGACAGTAGGCCTGTCACGATAACACATTTTGCTGGGTGATTGTCTCAGAAATTATTGCAATAAACGATAATATTGTTTGAAATTTAACAATATTTTGTCAAATTTGAGAAGTAAAGTGTATTTATTTTGTGTGTAGTACCGTTTTTGACCACCTGATGGCAGTATACGCCAGTTTGAACCAAAGGATGGATAGTTGAGCAGCATCTTTAAGAAAAATGTGAGGGAGGCCCCTTGATGTGACATGGCCTGACATGGTGGACGCTCCATGTGGTTTGAGCTCTTTAGCATTTTTCACACAAAGCTTTTAATAAAAAAAACAGTAAACAAGTTCTCAGCTTCTTTTTGCAGCAAAAAGCAACTTTTTACATCAAGGCACAAGTTTCAAACGTGAATTTTGGACCTTCGACAAGACGGAGGGTTATTTATCAATTTCGGCCTGTTAGCTTAGCTCGTAGCTTAGCTTCTCAGCTTAGCTGCTCTTAACGATCCAAAAACGTGATTTTAGACGGTTAAACAGATTTTAAAAAGAAAAGATAAAGGGAGAAGGGAGCTCTTCTGTGACGAAGCGGAGTTGAGCCTTTTGTCATCCAGTGTCTTCAGTAGAAAGAGAGAGACACAAAGAAATGATAAAGCCGATAAATGAAAATGAGGTCAATAATTTTAATTAATCGTGATTAATTGATTTATTGTTTATCGCAACAGGCCTAGCTGTAGATGCATAAACGTCCTCCCCAGTCCAGGTTCCTTTTATTTTGACAGGGTGCGTTCCAGCAACTGCTTGGTAGGATCCAGCAACTCTCAGGCGTACTAATAATAAAGTTATGAACAAATATGACTGCCTTGAATGAATAAAACTTATATTGGATATGTAAACTGAAAATAATTACACAAACACAAGAGACGACACAACTTCTTAATATCACATACGATCATCTCCCCCTTCAAGTGAAGCAGTTCCTCCTCTACCCTTAAAAACATCTCCACTCCTTAAAGAGTGCTGACTGTCATTTGGGGAGCCATGCTTGAACCGTGTCGCTCCTGCTGACACGATGAATAAATAACTCCGGCACCTCCGACACTCTGGGCGCTCGTCACCCACAGCACACGTTCAACGAACTCTACAAACTCCAAACAAGATGATACCTGCCCCCTTTTCCTCTTTCTCACTGACAATTTTTTTAGTTTTATCGATGAGTTTCTCAAAGCACAATGTAGGATACATGCAGCACATGTATGAGGACAGCAGGACATGTATGAGGACAGCAGGACATGTATGAGGACAGCAGGACATGTATGAGGACAGCAGGACATGTATAAGAACAGCAGGACATGT